TGGGTGAGGGATATAATTGTGTGTTTACGTATTTATTTGATTTTGACCGGATGATTGCTTCCCCATGCCCCAGATGAGATTGGTTGTGGCATGCAGGGTGTGTACGCAGCTCCCTTATTTTTATACCGTCTTATTCTTGCTTGGGGGAATAAAGGTTCCCATTTTCGTACTACAGCTACCAACAGCCTGACAACTGCTTAAACCTGCTTATAGTAGTGATCGGACTCTGTACACCCGAAAGGTAATTCTTAATATATATATATATATATATATATATATATATATATATATATATATATATATATATATATATTAGCAGCAGCATGGCCCGGTGTTGACCGTGCTTGATTCAAATATCGTACGACTCCTACAGCAATCGCTATCACTTGACTTAAAATATTTTTGCCCATCCTTGCCTTTAAAGGAGTTCCCTTTGCCGTGCTGATCTTGCTACATGCCTTACTTCTTGCCTATCTCTCACACTGCGAATTTTTTCTAAGCTCTATATTAAACATTAAATCTGTTACGAAAAAAGAACTAAACAAAAGGAACACAAAACAATTAGCTTAAACAAAAAAAGACTCATAACTTGAAAAACCCAATGAAAAAAGAATGTTAACAACAAATACTTTTTCACACCCAACCCAGTTCTGCGGAATCAGAAGCAGCGTTGAGTTTAAGCAAGCGAATGAGCCAACTGGAGTAAAGTGCCATGCGGATTTAAATTTTTCCCACTTGTGACGAATGCAGCTATCGATTTTTTTGCATGCTAGTTAACATTCGTGTCAGTCAGCTGTTGGCTCTCACGCTGGCCAATATAATCTTCCTGCCTATTCGTGGCAGCCAGCTATTGGCTCTCACTCTGGCCAGTACAAATGGCCGCAAACTACATGAAAAGAGCTTTAGAAGCATGAAAAAAACGATTAATTCCACTATCCGTAGGAGTTGGGAAATGCAAAGCCGGTCTTGAACCTTCCGCTAACTTGGAGCATGTGCATGTAAATTTTGGTGCAAATCCGTCGGAAATTGCAGCCGTGCATTCGGAACACACACACACACACACACACACACACATCCTGCCTTATATATATATATATATATATATATATATATATATTGTACTTTTGAGAAAGGTATAAATACGCTTCTTCCCCCAGCTATGGATAAATAGTGTTCTATAGCCTTCTCTGGCAACTGGTCTAGAAGGACAACTCTGAATTCAAAACCTGTGGAGGGTTGTTTGGGAATCTTGTGGCACATGGTGAACCAGGTCTCTTATTCGGTTCTTCAAAATGTGTGGCTGGTTCTACACAAGCCTTCACCACTCTAAACAAATCTTCTGTTTTGATAGTCTACAGTTCAGCTCTGCATTCAGGATTGTTGTCTCATACGAGACAGAAACTTTCAGAAACTGAACTGAAGACACTCATAGGTCTAAAACGAGAGAGTCCATTATATATATATATATATATATATATATATATATATATATATATATATATATATATATATGAAAAAATATACGGAAAAACAAACAAAAATCATAATATACAATTATGCTGTTTCAATGATAATATAATGTCAACGTCGGACGTTTCGGTCTAATAGACCATCTTCAGGAGATATTCATAAAACATAATTAACATTAGACTATATTCAATTCAACATGAAAAAGACGATGGACACAAGAGCAAGACTGGTAATTATTCGTACAAAAAGTACAAATTGTGGCACGAGGCCAATAAAGGGGAGGGGTAGAGGCTGGTCAACACTAACTATCTTATACCTAGCTAATCAGATTCGCGACCCATTCGTACATTACATTTTACCCATTCACCAAAAGAACTCGTCCATCACCAAACAATCCTTCAACCACCATAATACCACGTGCTCTCAAGAGAGACCTACCAAAATCGCGCCTCATGCCATAAAAATTTTAATGATGATATATATATATATATACAATTCTAATAATGATAAAATGAGAGGGGAGGGAAATGAACCCAATAATAAACTTAAAATAAACACAAATACAAACTAAACATAATTGATCTTAGTAGGGACCGTCCAACCAATAAAACAGAGAGACTGCTGTATTCTGCCCAGGGGACAAAATCAAGAGACGCTCTCGCTAAGTGGGGGGTCAAAACAAACTGGGGAGGTTGGGAATCTCGACTTGGATCATAACCAAAGAACGGCCAGGATGCAGGCCAGGAACAACACTTACTAACATTAACTAGGTACACTGAAGTTTGTCTATCCTAATCAGGGGGGGGTCCACAGGAAGCCACCCCGATATGCAATAGGTTGACTTAGAGAGAAAATCAAGTCTACACGTTATTTTCTTAATAAAATTAAGCGTGAAAAAACAACGTTATTTTCTTAATAAAATTAAGCGTGAAAAAACAAACAGGTCGCCTATGAAAATTTAGTGAAATCCTGTGGACCCCAATGGACATAAGTGATTCTAAACAAGGTTCTTAGCAGTAAATATTATAAGACATTTTGTATTTTGTTGTCCAATTATTTTTCATTAAAAACATTGTTTTGTTCTTTAAGTTTGGACGACTTGACATTTGCGTAAAAAAATAAATGACACATAGCTCTCTCTGTATCATTCCAAATAACTTACCGATTGAAAGCACAATTGAACTCCCACTTGTTTACATTTATTGAAAACTAGCAGTAGAGCCCGGCGTTGCCCGGGGATGTAACAGTAAGAGATAGATCAAGTATCGACCATCATAAAGACTGAAAAATAAAATCGACAAAGATTATTGTTTAAGGTTGACGGACACGCATGTCTTAATTATTTTTTTTGTTTGTTTTTTTGTTTTTTTTTTACGAATTGGTCAAACCCAAACTCAAACAAAAACATTGTTTTCAATCGTTATGAGTCTACCGATTGAATAGAATTTTATTATAAACAATTGTCTTGTAAATGGAATTTTTAAAGCATTCTGAATGTAAAAATAAAGAAAAAATTGTGCAAGACAATAAGAAACACTACTTGCCAAAAAAGAGAAGTTTTGTTGGAATCGGTTGAAAAATGTAGGAAATCCGATTTCATATATAAACGAACACACACACACACACACACAAACAAACAACCTGGGTTTTATAATAGGTATAACTCGATATGAGTTGTCCCCCTTTCATTCTGGCGACAGAATCATGTTTTATCATGTTTTCAAATTGATTTCGTGCAAAAACAATTGTGTTTTTCCAATTTTTGGCGCTGTCAGAACCACCGCAAGGTAATTTTACGCAGTCCTGTGAAGTTTTGTTGAAATCGGTTGAAAAATGTAGGAAATCCGATCCAATATATAAACACACACACACACACACACACACACACACACACACACACACACAATCTGCGTTTATAATAAGTAAGATTTCAGAAAAATTTGACTTATATTTTTTGAGATATCGAAGTTTTAATTTTTGTTTCTTAACTTTGGACGCTACTGTATTATATATCTTTAGCTGTTTCTCTTACGAGGATACTGCTGGAAAATTGTGCTTTTCTTTTTCAGGAAACACGTCTATTTCTGTATGTTCTTTCTGGAAGTATGGACATTAATGCACCAACATTTTGCTCTATCTATTATCCTCACTTCTTGATATTTTCTCACCCACTGCAGTTTCTGCCGTGTAATTATACCTGTTATGTGGATTAACAGGATCTCTTTTTCCTTTGATCTCTTTCCCATTTTGAATAGGTGCAAGTATATGCGTTCGTTGTTCCCTGTCAAATAGCTCATCATTCTTGGAACGAGGGCTATTAAATCGCCAGTTATATCGCAGCAAAAACCAGTTGACCAGGTAGTGCATCGCCGAAAACATCTATATAACAGCACCGAAAAGCACACACTCACACACACGCACGCAAACACTCACATACATACACGCACACACACAAAATATGAGCTCTTACAAACATTACATATTTTGCACGCGATCTAATTTGGGTCAAGAAAAATGTCAACACATGCGTAAACCTCAATTTCCCATATGCACAGATATGGTAGACATAAATCACTTCCGCTTCTAACATTCGATTTATACGCCTTCGATGCATCGATCTTCTGCGTCTTATTCTCTTTTTCTATTTATTTTTTCTGCCATTGCATAAAGCTCAGTTTTTCGTTGCATCTCTGGTTCTAATTCTCTTTCTTTTTTCTTTCCATCTCTCATTTTCTTTTCTTTCTTTCTTGCTTTCTTTTCTTTTCATCTCTCTTTCTAAATGTCTTTCTTTCTTTACATCTGTCTTTCTATCTCTCTTTTCTTTCTATCTGTTTTTCTTCCTATCTCTCTTTCTAACTATCTTTCTTTCTATCTCTCATTCTCTCTTTCGTTTTTTTTACATCTCTCTTTCTAAATGTCTTTCTTTCTTTCTTTTTCCATCTGTCTTTCTATCTCTCTTTTTTCTATATTTTTCCTTCCTTTTCATTCCACCTCTCTTTCTTTTTTCTTTCTGTCTGTCTCTCTTTCTTTCTTTCTTTTCTTTTCTTTCCATCTATTTTTCTATCTCTCTCTCTTTTTCTTTCTATCTCTTTTTCTTCCTTTTTTTGCACCTCTCTTTCTAACTCGCTTTTTTCTTTCTATCTCTCTTTCTTTCTCTCTTTCTTTTCACTTCTCTTTCTAAATGTTTTTATTTCTTTCTTTTTGCCCATCTGCCTTTCTATCTCTCTTTCTTTTCTTTTGTATCTCTTTTTCTTCCTTTTCTTTCCTTCTCTCTTTCTTTCTTTCTTTCTCTCTCTTTTTCTTTCGTTCTCTCTTTCTTTTCTTTCTATCTTTCTTTTCTTTCTCACTTTTCTCCAAGTTCTCCACCGCCTTAACCAGGTATTGAACTCAAACTCTTTGCGTCCTGTCACTGGATTTAACCAACACCTTTATCCACTGAGCCATGTGTCCATGAGTCAACTTCAACTCTATACTCCTCAATTCCCGACAAAACTAAATATTTGTAAGTTCCTGAACTAAATAAGACTTACGATCAAATAGCGTTGAAACATATGTTCCCTGACGATCACCGATGTTAAGCAATGTTACGCCTGGTCAGTACCTAGATGGGTGACTCCTTGTGAATACCAGGTGCTGTAAGTTTGGATGTGCAAGTTATGCAATGGATAATGGCTCGGATTGTTAATCGGAGAACCGAGTTCCAATTTCAGTTGAGTTCGTTATATTTACTTACGGGCAAATACCTTTGGGAAAGGCATGAATCCACCTCTTCTCCCCCACGCTATAGGTTAATCAGTAAGTTTTGTATCACTACACCATTAGTATCTCAAAAAAATCATTTTTAAATCTAAGAAATATTTTCTGGCTTTAAATAACCTGCCAAGAGTCGATAAGCCGTAGAAAACGAATGATTCGAACGAAGCAAGTAAATGCATATAGAGAGAAATACAGTCGACCAATATTTGCCAGTTCTCGAAATAAGTAAATGTCTATAGATATAAACGAAAAATATTTACCAATTCAAGAAAGAAAATCCTTATAAACGTAAATGCAATTGGTCATTATTTGGTAATATCTGAAACAAGTAAATGTTTATAGACTTAAACATAAATAACAAATATGAGCCAATACTGGAACTCACAAAATGTTTAAAGACGTAAATAAAATATAAAGGACAGATATTTGCAAATTTCCGAGCAAATGAAAGTTTATCGACTTAAATATAAACGGACAACATTTACCAATTCCCGATTCAAGTAAATGCTTATAGATATAAAGGCAACCGACAACAATCTTCAATTCCCGAACCAACGAAATATATATAAAGTTAAATACAAACATCAAATACTGGGTCCGACGGGTAAATAGTCGCCATTTTAGATTTTCAATTTCGCGCATGCGCGTTGTTTGTTTTTGATATTGCGGACTGCACAATATAGTGGGGTCAGTTAGGCACCGCCTGTGAGAAAAACGAGCAACATGACGCAATTCACTCCACCACAAATACCGTAACCGCAAGCTGTACTGTTTAGCATTCATGCCGGAAGCTCCAATGTGAATATTTCAGAATGTTTTGGCATCCATCTGAGGAGAGTACTGAGAATGTGGAAAGAGTTGGATGAGTTTATGATTATAAAGTTCTTTGCCTTGAGGACGTAGTGCTGCTTGGGGTCAGGCGGGTGGCAGCTGGAATACCCTATGTCTGGCAACAAGAAGCCGTACCATACCACACAAACAGGAGAACCCAGTCATGGCTGTCAGAAAATTTCTGCGACCAATCACCCGTTACATCTGGCCACGTAACTCCGCAGACTCCAATCTTCATGCTTATTAGGTGTGGGGCGCATTTGAGTGAAAGACAAAACAACATTCCTTATAACACCAAAGATGAATTGACGGCAAGGATTATGGCAGCAGTCACCAACTTAAACAATGAAAGCGTCCAGAATATTAGCAAGAGATTCCGAAGACGTATGGAGGTTGAAGCGAATGGTGATTTTATTGAATAAAATTACTCTTTAGTGTTTCAAGATATTTTTTTGTGTAATTTTGGTAAATATATCTGTTAAAATGTGATGCCAGTGTTATTTTCATGTTGGCGTCATTTAGACGACAATTTATCAATCGCACACTGTATTTGTCATTTACTCAAACAAGAAAATGCATATAGATTTAAATACAATTGACCAACATTAGGTAATTCTCGAAACAACAAAATGTATATAGACTTAAATATAAACAAAAATTATCTGCCAAAATCTATAAGCTAATAAATAGTTGCAATATTATATGGAATCGAATTCAGTATAAAGGCCTAATATTTGCCAATTCTGGAACCAAAAAAAAATATAAAGGTCAAATGTTCTATTCTCTAACTAGCATCCTGGTTATGACAATAAAATACCACCGACATCAAGACCTTTGACTGGGAGGTTTTCAGTTACATGGAACCATCTCTTAATTGCTGTTATTCCCAGGTTCACCCTGACTCGGAGTGGTAGCATCTATTAGAATCCCAGCTATGGCAAAATTGTTAAGCCACAAACTTGGATCAGAACATTATTAAAGTAAAAAATAGGTTTTTATAGTGTTGTGGATTCCGGGTTCAAATCCGGTACCAATAAATAACAAACGCCAAGAATGAATATATGAAAAATAATGTATTAACGGAATAATACAAACTGGTAATGCAGGTTAGTAGTTCCAGGAATGTTGGTTAGTAGCAAAATATCTATACAGTCTTTGGTATTGAAGTATCGCTGTATGATTTCTTACTGAGTCTACGTGCTCGTTCACTGTGACTCTTGCTCTCTACGTTCGTTCTGTCTGTCTGTTACCTTCACCTTCTGTCGGTTACCTACGACGCTGTTACCTCACTCTCACTCTTCCGGTCACTTACAATCTATCACTCCTCCACTGTAGCTATCGGGTCTTCACGTAGCAGTAGTATATGTATATACTGGGTGAGTCCATTTGTGTAAAAAGGGGAAGACCCCTCAACATATAGTAAGAATACATTTTTGAAAAAAGAAACATTATCAATACACTTTAAAAAAAACCCAAAAAACAGCAATACATTTAACTCTCGACAAAAACGCTACATCAATGAAGCTTGATCTACAAACTGATTCCTTACAAAGAATACATATTCTAGTCATACGAACTTATATTAAAAATCTTGTCGACATTAAATAACCCATTGAGGTAGATATACCGTAAAACAAAATAAATCAAACCAAGTCTATCCCTCTAATTGTTTACGAACCAAAATAAAACCGATTAATATTTTTCCAAGTTCCGACCAAGTGAACAAAGAAAGAGGCAGGTGAAATTTCAAGGACACGTAATGAGAAAGGAGGTCGTGGAGAACGTGATACTCACAGGTTGAACTGTTGGGAAAAAAAGCGACAAGGTAAAGCAACGCATAACATACCTGGCGGGCACGAGCAAGTGGATGACAGAACGTGGTCTGGGTGAGTTGGCCGAGGTACGAAGCTTATTGAGACCTACAAGGGACAGGAGGAAGTGGAGAGCCATGATCGCCTACGTCCAGAAAAGATATGGAACATAAAAAGAAATAAACACACATAAATGATAATATTTAAAAATTCCAGAACCAAATAAAGGAAAATGCACTTAAATATAAACGAGAAACAAAACAATTCTTAATACATAGACGTAAATACAATCGACCGATATTTACCAGATGTCTAACCAAGGAAATATTTATGGTGTTAAATATAATTGACAGATATTTGGCATTTTTGTATAGATGCAAATACAGTCGACCAATACTTCCTAAATACCGAAACAAGAAAAGTTACATACATTTGTATATAAACAGCAAATATTTGGCATTTTTGTATAGATGCAAATACAGTCGACCAATACTTGCTAAATCCCAAAACAAGAAAATTTACATACACTTGTATATAAACGGCAAATATTTGGCCTTTTTTATAGATGGAAATACAGTCGACCAAAACTTGCTAATTCACATACACTTGTACATAAACAGCAGATATTTGGTATTTTTGTATAGGTGGAAATACAGTCGACCATACTTGCTAATTCCCGAAACAAGAACACTTGTATATAAACGGCAGATATTTGGCAATTCTAGGACCAAGCAGTTGATTATAGACTGTAATATCGTCGACTAATATTGTGATCTTCCAAGCGTAGCTTAGATGTGGCACAAGGCCGAAAGAAGGGGGCGCCCAGTGAGGATCAAACTCACTACTCAGTGGTAACAGTTCTAGCGAGACAAGCTTGTTAACCATTACACCACCTCGAGATGCCCAAATCGTTGACTAATATTTGTCAATCTCCGAACTCCGTAAATTCTTATAGACCTAAATACAATCGACCAATATTTGACAATTCACTAATCATTTTTTTGCGCACTTAAATATAAATGCCAATTCTTGAGCAATTACAATCGTCGAATATTTACTAATTCCCGTCCGAAGTAAATGTTTATAAATTTAAAAATTAACGCAAAATAATAACCAATTCTCAGGGTAAATAAATGATAATATATCTGAATACATTCGACTAATATTTACGAAATCGTGGAACAAGTAAACCCTTGTGCAAATTAATTGAAACGAGCGCCTTAGTTTCTTTTATTTAAGCATAGGGTCAGTTTAAAACCCTCTTGAATGACAGGGTGTAATTGCTTTTTATTTTTTTCTTCAGATTAGTTCATTTGCAGTGGTGTGCAGTAATATGAATCTATTTTCGGGGTGTATGATGAAATTTGTTTGGCCTTTAAAAATATTGCGTCATTCATGATTGCGTCAGATTTTTATGACGCCGAGTCACTATTGTTTCGACTGTCGATTAGTACTCCTACGGCCATCGTCTGCGATGGACGTTACTCCAAGGAAGCGTACGAAAATTGTAACGCTGCACTAAAACGCTGGAAAGCCTTACCAGCGAGGAAATTAAGGTACAATAGACTGGCCCGGAAACTCTCCTGATTTAAATCCAATCGAAAATCTGTGGTCAATCTGCAAGGAACGACTTCGTGGAATGGACATACGAAGTACTAACATGTGCACTGTGTCATGTTTCATTGGGAAAATACAACAAAAACATTAAATAATAACGGAGTTATTCGTTTTGTTTCAATTAATTTGCAAATATTAGCAATTCTCGGAGCAAGTAAATGTTCATACATCTAAATACAATCTACTAATATTTTCCAAATCCTGGGACAAGTAAAGGTTTACAGACCTAAATAAAAACGACAAATATTTGCAAAACCTCCAGAACGAAGCCAGTGATTATAGTCTGAAATCCAATCGATCAATATTTGCCAATTCCCGAACCAAGTAAATATTACGAGACTTTAATATAAACGACAAAATATCTGCCAAATCCAGAACCAATTAAATGCTTATAATATTGTATACAATCAACTAGTAATTACCAATTCTAGACAAGAAACACTTACAGATTTAAGCACTATCGGCAAATCTCTGTCAAATACGGAACCTAGAAATACCTGATAGACTTAAATACAATTGACCAATATCTGTCAAATCTCGAACTATGTAAATATTTATAGATTTAAATATAAACTACAAATATTTACCATTTCCTGAACTAAATAAATATTTATAGACTTAAAT